AGAGACTTTAGCTGCAAAACTGTGTAAGGGAATATAAAGCAGCCCGGGGTCTCATTTAAAGTGAATTAAACTTTTGTAGAGCTGTAAAAAGGCATGAGAGAGCTATACAATATGTCTGTTAACCACAGAGGCCGATAGCCACACACACGGGGAGATACAAGAAGAAGAACAGCTGAAAAACCTTTCCTGACGCCAATCCATGGTAGCATACAATGGGTATGGCTCCGCCCCCCACCCAATCACAGGACCAGTTATACTATAAATTAAAGCCCGCCTCCCAAGGCCACCACATTTAGAAAGTAGCTCTCTGCGTGCACTAGGTCACATGCATTGTGCCTGATCAAGCAGATGGAGCTATCAGATTAGACTCTGGATTCGCTCTTCCGAAGGATGTTATCCTTACGGATAGAATTTAGTGATGTACCTCCAGAGTTATTCTGGAAGGCTGTACCCGGTATATGTTCCTGTCCCATTACAGGGTCTGTCCAGGAGTCTTGTCCAAGGTGAAGTTGTTTCTGAATGTGTTTACCAGTGGTACAAATAAATAAATATCTCAGAATTACCCTCCTTGGATGTGTGCTAGTTAGATCCCATTGTATGCTGCCATGGATTGGCGTCAGGAAAATGGAAAATTGTATACTTACCTATCGGTAATTTTCCTTTCCTGACGCCAATACATGGCAGCATACAGGACCCGCCCATGGCTTTCGCATTGAGTACTTGTTACGAGAATGGTGGCCTTGGGAGGCGGGCTTTAATTTATAGTATAACTGGTCCTGTGATTGGGTGGGGGGCGGAGCCATACCCATTGTATGCTGCCATGTATTGGCGTCAGGAAAGGAAAATTACCGATAGGTAAGTGTACAATTTTTGATGGACTGTACCACCTTCTACAATGGGGGGAGGTGCATAATTTGCATATCAATTAAACGCGGTATTTACGTATGAAAACGTTGCGGCTTATTCATATGTTTATAGCGCCACCCAATTATATGTAAATATCCCAGCCGAGCCTATTTTCGGTGGGGGGCCAATAGCCCCTATCTTAGTTTTTGTTGCCCCTGTCTGCCTGACATCTTGTGTCCGGGTTTCAGATTATATGAAACACAGACACAGCGTTCAAAACCCGGATTGTCCAGGTGGCAACCTTAAGCCTTTCCTCCTATTATCTAACCCTAAAGTTATATTAATCTTCTTAGTCCCAGAGCCCAACATAGTCCCCAAACAAATTCTTCCAACTAAACTCTTGTACTGTATACACTTCTTGTCCTACATGGAACTCTCTTAGCTCTGCACACAAAGATATTGGCCAAGTTTGTGATCACTGGGAGCTGCAGATTACTGTAAACTAGAGACTGCAGTATGTGAATAATTCAGATAGGTCAGCAGATTATGTGGTAGATCAGTCACCACATCTGGCGTTCACAATCACTGCCGGCCACAGATGCTACGTCTTTCCCAGTCTAACATTTTGCAAAAATAGAAAAACCAAAACAGATGAACCTTGACAATGCTTTTTTGAGTTATAGCCTTACGATCATCTGTAACACTACAAACTCATCTTCAAAATGCTCTATGATTTTAACTAATCGGTGACAACGTTACCAATTGTGAATTGGTATAGTATGTGAATTTATACTGTACAATAAATATACGGCACGTTTAAAAAAAAAAAAAAACTCATCGCCAAGATGTTTTATAACCGGTTCTTGATTCCGTGTGCTTTCAGAAAGAGCTTCAGTGCCTCTCTCTCGCAACATAACCTGACAGCTCTTACATGAGCCAGCATCACAAGGCCATGAGATGACTGCTTACAGAGTAATTTGGTTATTTGTGTTCCTCTCACTCTTATCACAATAGCGTTCACTGTGGTATGGGGTGCCGTATATGAGTCTCCATGGCAACGTCTCCCCCAGATACAGGGGGAGCTTTGGAATATAGTTGGTTTGTAGTCTCCATGGCAACAAAGCCTGTTCGGATGAATTTCTCCTTTTAAGGTCGGAAGACAGGAAAATTGCTCTGGGGAGGGGGGTAGGAGTAAGGTATACTCAGAGGAAAGGTAGTATGAAGACAGGGTGACAGTGAAGTGGGTGAAGAAAAGCCATAAATATAATCCGTTTTACATGTTGTATATTCAGATGGTTAAGTCCTGACAGTTTATACAGAATCTCTTACACAGTGCTGGTTGAGCATTTATTTTACACACACTTGCTGATGTGAAATGTGTTTATTTGTTGATTTAACAATACATTTCCATCACTCTGAGGGCATCCAAAAACAAACCTTTACACTCCCAACAGTCCACAGGAAAAGGTGTTTTTGGCATAGCCATCCCTCCAGTCTAACGTGCTCTTTTCCCCCTTCACCCGGGTGACATTGTTAGATCTTGGAAGCATTGTATCATACAAGACAAATGGCAATGGTTGTTGTTATCATCCGTCATTTCTCTTACAACTCTCCTAAGGTACAAATCTGAATGGCGCCACTTTGGTGTGACAGAACATCACCATCCTGTCTACTCCGTTGCCAAAACCATTCTATGTAAGCTTCATGAGTCATGTTCTGTGAGTTTGTGTTGTGTCTGGTGCAATTACTGAAATGTAGGCAGAATGCGAGAACAGAGCAATAAATAGGTATGAGCTGGTGGTTGCTTGAAAGGCATCTGGTTGAAGCCCATGAAATATGAAAAAGCCCAGCACTGGCCACATGATCTGTGTGCAGATCTACCATATTTCGGCCTAAATCGTGCCTTACGATGGCCAATTCCCAATGTCCATGACACAGTGATGGCCTAACTAAAAATAAATGGACCATGACAATAGCAATGGTGCTTGTAGGCACACAATGCTAATGGCACCTTGATGCTTCTCCGGACTACTTATCCATATCATATATCATGTTCTTACAAAATGTGTCACTGGGCCAAATACAGTATATGATGCTGTAGATTCACTTTAGTGACTTTTTATAGTATAAAGAGATACCTGCTGGTCCGGGGCTGGATAAATCCCAGGAACCACCCCAGCACCTGAATTCCATAACATTTTGTCCACCCCTAGTTGCTAGTTAATAATACAGTATATGTTAGACATATGATGTTTGGGCAAGCAAAACTGAATTACAAATGTAAGGCTACAAATTTCTCTGAGAAGCACCTTGGCTAAGTGGTTAACACTCTTCTGTTGTAGTGCTGGGTCCTTGGTTCGGTTTCCAATTGGCACATTGCACTGCACGTTTGTATGTGTAACCTGTGTTTTTTATCACACAGTCCAAAAACATTGGGGGTTAACTGGCATCTGAGTAGATTTGCCCTAATCTGAATTTCCTATACAACTACAGCTGGTCCCAAGCCCTAAGGCCTGGTTCACACCTAGGTGCACACGAAGATGTGCATTTGGAATGGCAGTTTCATAAACATGGTGGTCATGTAATGGGACACACAACATGAACATGCATAAAAACACGCATGAACATGTACAACATGCTTCTGCCCCGCGTTTCCATTGAAGTCTATGAGTGGGTGGGAACGAGCTTGAAACAGCCAAAAGAAGCTCATGTACTTTTTTCTGCATTTGGCGTTTTGCTGCTCAGATGTGAACAGGGGCCATTGAAAATCATAGGGTTTCTTGTGTTGGGTGCTTAAAAGCGCTTTTTTCTTCTGCTCAAAAACACCTAGGTGTGAACCAGGCCATACTTAGAAAGCAGGATCTTGGGTGCTGAGATAGCAGCCTGGCCTTAAAAACCAATAACCACTATAGAAACAGCCAAGTTGCTGCCTTCTGTAGCCAGCAACATATAGAGAACCAATAAATATTTGTTTGTAAAGGTCATATACTCATATGTAATTGTAGCATATACTGTACATGTTGGTCATCATCCGAGGGTCTTCACTTATGTCATGGCATTATTTGTTTTCATTTTTATAAACCCCAAAACAAAAAATAATATATTGCAGCTTTCTCTTTATTTTCACCTGGTGATCCGGCCAATACCACAATTCCCAAGAGTGGCTAAGCTCAGTCCTCCACTGTATCTATGGAGGAACAACGTAGCCACCCTTGAACAGCAGAATTGTGGAGAGGTAGTGTTGGATGGACTAGTAGACTTAGATGGAATTTACAAGAATGACTAAGAAATGAAAAGCTTACTCCAGCTTTTAAGGCAGTAACAGAAACAGTTTTTTGTTTCCTTTTGGGAGGTTTTTTAAGGTTATGTAAATGAATCAAGGCTGACCTTTGTAAAGCCGGGTATACACGTTTCTATTTTTTCTGTTTAACCCATGGGCTGAATGAAAAAAATAGAATAGATTCCTCCATCAACACTTACGAGCGTTGATGGACAAATCCCACGCTGTTTGCATTGTATTATGACAGCCTCCGCCCTCTGCTGTCAGAATACCCAGACGGAGCTAGCAGCTGATAGGCTTCAGGCTCCGTCTGGCCGAGAATTTCCAAACCGGCTCCTTCGATCAGCTGATTGAGGGATGCCGGGTAGAAGGGTGCTGACAGCCGCACCCACTGCGGATATCAGCCAGTTCATTAGGAACCGGATAAAATTTGTCACGTGTAAACCCTACTTAAGCACCCCTGTCAGTTTTAAATGGTGTGTCTCAACCCTCTAAGTTCCACTTTTGCTTGAGAGCTTTGTCTTTTAAAGGAAGTAGAAACATAACAGACTTACTGGACAGATCACCAGGTAATAAAACTATGTTATAGGGGACTCAGGAAAACAAAACCTGCTATGTTAATGCCATTGACTGATTACATCATATTTGTCATTTCTGATTTTTGCCCATATGTCCACTTGAAGCCCTCTGTGAGAAGTCTCCTTTAGGACACAAGTACTCTAAACTTGTATTCTTGTGGACATACCATTACGGTCCTGGTAAACATACAGTATATTCACCTTTGGGAATGCTATACATGATTTTTCCTTAGTGTTGTACCAGGTAGTGGTTTTCTTATGGTGTTGTTGTTATTTTGTTTTAGCACGGGGTTCATAGAAATATCAGTCTATGCCGCCCATGTTCTGTTAATATGGTTCCACATAGGATGGTCAGAAGTTCTCCGAGTTCTGTGGCAGACACGAGGTCATGTGGCCAGTCCGGCTTCCTTATGGCACATGGACAGCATAGTTCACAAGTCACAGGACAGAAAGGTCATGGCATGATTTTGACCTCTGCTTGAAGAAACCTTTATGTTTTCCCATAATTCCCTGCAAAAGTCGCCTCGCTCTTTTGGTCAGACTCTCTCTGCGAACTGGTGGTAGGAGGGTGGCTGGCTGGGGATTGTGTTGTCCCTCATCTTTTCGTAGACGGATCTGTCTGACAACCCCCTCAAGCAACTCCTGTGTATTATGGTGAAGGGCAGCAGATGTCTCTGTGTACTTACAGCTTAGCATGCCTGCCAGGGCGCGTCCCTCTGAAAGAAAAAAGAGAAATCCAGTGTACACAATGGCATCAAGGCAAACTGGGAATGTTACAGTATGAACTGTCATTCTAATGTCCATGGTGACAGATTAAATAAGAGCCTGCTTCATGTGGATATGTTTCTTTTTGTTTCCATAAGTAGGAGTAAAGTATTTGTTCATACAAGAACCTTATCGGGAGACTATACTCTTCTATTTTGATCTATTTTAGCCGTGGTCCAGCAGAGAGCACAGCAGCGTTCATTCCACTTTCTACAAAAGCTTTACATCTGGATATTGTGCAAGCACATTTATTATGTATATCAATGTCTAACACCTGTCTTCTCTTTGAGGAAAGAGAGGAGGATGTAAAAGAACATTTTAATACCAGGCTTGATTTTTACAATGCTGTCAAGAGAGGTGAAGGCTGCAGACGTTCTCATGGGCCTTTGTTGACGCCTGAACTGCTTTTCTTCTCAATACAAGTCACTGTAAATGCAAAAACACCTCAAGGAAACTCAGAAGCAACTCAAAGCAGCTCAGAGGCAATTTAAAGCAACACAAAGGTAAACTGCAGCTAATCAGAAAAAAGTCAAAACAACTCAGAAGCACATAAAGGTTTACTGCTTTTGAGTTGTTTGTAAGTTTGAGTTCCTTAGTCGAGCGCTTAGTTGCAAAGATAGATAAGAACTCCACCACTCAGGCTATGTCTTCCTCAACCACTCAGGCTCAGACTCATCAGTTAAATAACACAATTCAACTAAATGTGCCAAACAAACTTTTCAGATGATTTCCAAATTTAAAAAATGGTGCGGTCAGAACACTGCTGCCATTGTGTCACCTACTGCAACAATAGGCATTTGTATCATACCAGTAACCCTCAATATCATACAAGTTAGAGCAAAAGAGGAGAAAACCACTTATCCTGATCTGTAATGCAACTGTACATACTATTTTCACTGATATTATTCTAGTGACATCATTTGCACATGCCCAGTGGCTCTTACTTTCTCAGCATCCTGACCCAGCTGAGATGATCAGACTGCCCTGCCAAGATGACATACTCCTCTGTCTCTGGCATAGGCACTGACTATCACAATCTGTGCGGAAGTAAGGTAAGAGAAAATCAATGCCAGGAAGCAGCAAAGATGGCACTGGCTTGCACAGGGTAACTAAATAGGATAGATGCAGGTCATTAGAATGCAAGTATTAGCTGAAAGAAGTAAATGGGGTTCTAAGGTTTTCTTGGCAGGGGACTGCAGACTTTAATTCCGCTTTAGGTACAATTTACTGTTAAAGTGAAATAATAATTTATAAAGTTAAATTCAAGTCTACCAAATTTATAAACCCGTGTTTTATAGCATTTTAGCAGAGCATCCATGACATTCAGTTTACAGAGTATGCTGGGCTTGCATGACCTCCATGCTTGTTGGCAGCCTGTGTAAAATTGTCGGAGCTAGATGTCTTATCTCTGCTAGGATAAAGAAGAAGCCGTGTGCCCATATTCTAAGGTATTCAACAGTTCATGTTATTTGATCTCTCCTGCTGTAATAGTCTATCAAACAAAAAAAAACAACTAAAGAAAATAGCCTATGAAAAGCTGTACTGCAGCCCAGAGATCGCCACCTGGTGGCTGCAAGTGGTGAGTGCAGTATATGCCAGATTAATAAACTAAAGCACTATCTGCTTTTAATGTTTTTAGCACTGAAATGTAGGACATTATTTAAAGATTTGTACCCTTTCTGATTAAACATTTTTAAATGTTTCACCTAGGTTAGCTCTAGTTTACTTCTTTTACCTATAAGTCATTAAAAGTCTAACACTCTCTTGGCTAAACCCATTCTCTGCTGTAAAATTAAAGTGTATGTAAACCCTAACAATAAACTTCTCTTGTTTTCTCCATTTGGTCTGTTAAATACAAATACCATTGAGAGTGTACTGTAACATCTGTACGTGCAAAAAATAATTGTCGGTCCTGACAGAAATCTTCTAACAAGCTCTCTGCTTGTGCTGACTGCTGTCAGTTACTATGTTCCCTACTATCAAGGATCCTATAAGGATTACGGTGTGCTGGTGACGTTTCTGCAAGTATCTCTATTTGGCGGTGCCATACGCAGTCATTCCAAGCACCCTTCCCCGACCACGGGCTTTACCGGTAAGGAGTAAAACTAGCCTTCTCTTTCCTTTTCTTCCCCCGGTATCTGCTCCCTTCCTCTGTGTATGCCTAAGATCTTCTCCAACCGCTGAGCCGTGAATCTCCTGCATCAGCCCTGCTGAGCTCCGACCGATGGATGTGGCTGCATCTGGATGACAGATCCTAGAGCAGGACACGTGACCAGCACAAACATTCTCCTACTGATGACGGTACATTGTAACCACTAGGCACATTCCATCCGGTCGCAGACTTGTGTGCCAGGGGGATGCGGAAGATCGGGGATCGCCATTCGTATGAGGTTGGATGCAGGAGATATACATAGATCTTGGCTTTTTTGGTGTCCCCCTGGAAAGTGCCGCCCAAGGCCTTGTGGTAGATACGCCCCTAGCTGTGAAAGGTATCAGACAGTCATCCTATGTGTACCTTCCATGTAGTTTTTTAAGCGAATACAATGGTTCCATGGGTTCTATCTTCATAAGTAGGCTGGGTATGCACTACTATGTAATGTACACATTATGAGACAGGTGCCATTATCTGTACTGTTATTTTGTAAAACACCCTTATTGTACTCACATATTCTTTCCCATGCTAATGTGTATGTATGCTAAATCTTCTTGTCAATACCTTCCATGCTGACCTCTCTGGAGCGAGCTAGATCTCCCTTATTGCCAACAAGAATCACTGGAATATGGCGATGTGGACGAACAGAGCGCAGTTTCAGAAGAAGACCAGGCAGATGTTGAAAGCTACTTCTGTCTGTCACTGAAAAGATTAGAAGGAAGGCATCCCCCATTTGTAGGCAGCTTTCTTGCATCCAAGTATGTGGACCTGACTGAGAAGATAAAGACCGCTATAACTAAAAGAGAACATTGTGATGGGTTCACAAGCAGCACTATTTTTCTTTAACATGTAGATCTTTAACATTTTAAGGATTTCCATCAACACAATGTCATGTACCCAAAGTACTTGTAAAACACCTGAGAAGGGAATATTGGATCCTATCGAAATTCTTACCTGTTCCCAAATATCATATACAATTAATGCTGTCTTTTCTCCATCCACCATTAGATCTATCTCATATGTATCCTCTGGAAGTGACAAGAAGATATTTTTCACAATCATATCAGGTCAAGCACATACATTTAACCCACTCTCTAATATAATTTGCCAGAATTTACCTGGATGCTCAGCTTCATGAGGGAAAGAGTCTTTAAGGCCTCCAAATATCCCAGCAAGAGTTGTCTTTCCTACTCCAGTGTCACCAACCAACATAACTTTGTAGGATCCAGGCTCCGGATTACTGTCTGAGGACCTTATAGAGTCGGACGACCCTGAATGGACACTTGGCCAGTCAAGCTCATCGACAGCTTGCGCACGTCTCAGCTGGTGTTTGTAAGGCAGGGGCATACTACCACGACGGTGTGAGTCTACAGCAAGAGGAAGACTTCCCCGATGTTGCCGCAGACCCCCCAGCTTCTCTATTTTGTTTAGTGTCATGGCAGTGGCTGTAAAACAAATCATTAGTAGTATAGCACAATTAGTACACCTATGCTTTAAAAACCATGTAGCATGTCAAAACTGGTTCTTACTTTAAGTGAACCTAAGTGAACAAGTACAGTTATGGGACGCATAAAAAGGAAGTGGGCCTGAGTTCTGAACCACAGGAGTTGGTCAAGAGTTGTGTAATTGCATCTAAAATAGTGAACACTTTAAGACCTTTGTGGTCTATCAGGTGGGAGAAAATGTCTTAAAGCATAATTAATAACATTAAAGTAGATTATATATACTGCAATGGTCCCCATACACTGTTTCACAAGTCATGGTATATGGCATGAAGCTGGTTTTATTTTGATAAAGTCGTGAAGAAAAGTCCCTGAACACTAATTTGCTGCATTTACGCATGAATGCTATCAAGACATGATATGATATTCATCTTTTTCCTAATAATACAGATTCTTATTTGGGGAAACTACACAAAACAGCATTTTACATTATAGCTTCCCTTTTGCACAAATGGTTTACATAATAACTTATTACATTGTACAAATATGTCAATCTCAAGGATAATCTTTGGAAAAATTCAAGTATGGATTTAATTCATGTATTTGAAGAAATTCATGCGTGGATTTGATTTGCCCTGTTGTACAAAAAAACCCACAATTTTGGATACCTACTTTTACCAACAGAATTCAGTTGGAATGTGATATAGCCTGATCCAATGAGATTTCCAGAGAGCTCAGAAGAGTTGATGAAGCTGGAAAAGGTTACAAAAAAAGATTTCCTAAAATTTGGGCTTCAGTCAGTCTACAGTTGGGAAGATACTTAGCAAAACTGGCACTCTCATTAGAAGCAGGCATCCTGTAAAGATCAATACAAGAGTATCTTCAGACAGGTGACTAAGAACCCTAGGGTGACAGCTAAGGATCCATAGCACCTTGTGTTCTTAGAACGACTGTGTTATACCTCAAGGGATACACTGGACAATAATAAAGTTCATTTCTGGGCTTCCATAGTGAAACCCACTGAGCTACAACAAAACCTAGTGAAGCCCACTGAGCTACAAAAATACCTTGCTACCCATTTTCAGAAATGCTAAAGACCACCTGGATGTTTTGAAGCAACACTGGAACCATGTTGTGTTTTCAGATAAAACAATAAGTTTTCATGACAGTGTTCAGTATATGAGTCCCTATTTTTTATTTCACGTGCCTTATTTCTCTCCACACCAAGTTGCCCAGCGAGGTTTGGGACAAAGCATACACATCTGAGGTGTTAAACATTCTCAGCAGGTCACCACTGTAAGCTCCCTGAAAAGACATAGTTAGTCCCAGCCCCTGTCAATTTGGCTGGGCAGTTTGGCCTGCAAGAAAAATATAAATGAAATATGAAAATAAAAAGTAGATCCATATACAGAAAGTACACAGATAATACATACACATGTATTAACTGCATACAGATATACACATTTATTTCAAGATGCTGGTCCTTAAAATAAGACTTTAATTATGACTTACTTTAAAATGACACTTTATTTTGGCTGCCATTTATGCGCCAATCTAGTACTTGTTATATGTAGATGATGCCATGCTATTGAAAAAAACTAGGGATTCTTGAAAGTTTGCACTAAATCAGGGTACTTCAACTATTAAGCTAATACTTATGTTTAAATCACCCTTAGGGCTTTGCTCTTTTACTATACTATGTAAATACATTTGTAATCCAGCACGTTATTATTCTGAGTTGCCCCACTCAAGCGGCGGCCATATTGAGTGGGGCACGTGAGATTAATAACGTGCTGGATTAGCGTGATCCTAGTTCATTTGATTACTTCATTGCTGTGCTGTATGTGTAGAGGCCAATGTAGTTGGATCTGTATGTGCGTTATAATTAATCGAAATTAATTGATTAATCGATTAAAAAATTTTTTTATTAATCGAACACGAAAAATGTAATCATTACCAGCCCTACAAAATGTAAATATTGCAGAATATACAGCCTCATGCTACATAACTAAGCTCCATTTCATGCTTGATAAACTAAATTATTAATGTATCTTAAATAGAAAACTATCTTTAGATTGATTTTTACTCCAAAAGCATTTTATTGAAATAAATTTGATAAAAATAAAAAAAATCAGATTTAAATTTAAAAAAATCATTGATTTTTATCCACCCTGACTAAAATACATTTATTTAGTATATATAAGGTATCCCCGGAGGTATCCTTAGCCTTTCTGTTGTTATAGAACTACAAGTCTCATAATACATTGCAAGGCTCTGACAGCCACATGCATGACTCCCAAAAGCAGAGGCACAAAGAGATTTGTAGTTTCACCCTAGCTGGAGTGCCAAGGTTACCTACCCCTGCCCTATATTTTCACTTTCTAATCCTTGGCATATGTTCTTTTCTTTCACAGTAGCTCATGAGTGGGTGGTGAACTCTAATAAACGAGAATCTCAATAAGATATTTTATACAGAGATATCTTAAAATGCTGTTATCCTAAATTCTAGTTGTAGCTGTTCAAACCTTGTAAAGAAGAAATCCCCTGATAGTGCATACTGTATGTTACATTCGCTCTGCTAATACTGTTATACCGACTGACTATTCCTCACTATTACCGTAATACCATTGAATTATATAATCACACTTCTGCCTCCTTTTAATCCAGGATGATCTCTGATCAGTATCCAGGACAAACAGAGATTACATACTCCAATCCTATCAATTCAGTGGGCTCTCTAGGGGAAAGCATCGTTTGGTTTAAACAATACAATATTTTCTAATGAAACAATTGCACAATAACAGCTGTTTTTGATGCTGGTCATCTGAAATGTGTTACCAGACCTTCTTATCGGCGATACAAGTTAATGTCACAAAAAAAGGCTCCTATTTGATCTCAGTTCTTTTTAACATAATGCTGTTGACGCATATATACTTTTTGCTAAGACATTTTCTGCCCCCCAACCTTTTAGCAATTACATGGTTACATAGTTAATCAGGTTGAAAAAAAGATACAAGTCCATCGAGTTCAACCTATAGAGAGAAAAATAATAATAAAAGAAAAACCTCTATTAACAGAACGCTATGCCCAAAGTTACCCACAGCTGATCCAAAGGAAGGCATAAAACCCCTATAAAGCATTGTTCAATTTGCTCCAACAGGGGAAAAAAATTCTTCCCGATCCCCCAAGACAATCGACTATTCCCTGGATCAACAATCTGTGTCGGTATTACCCCAAAAATGTTAATATCCAGTAATATTCTGTGCATTTAGGAATACATCCAGATTTTTTTAAAACAGTTTTTTTTAAACAGTTCAGTTTTTTAAACTGAACTAGCTCCTGGGGGAGTCTATTCCACATTTTCACAGCTCTAACTGTGAAGAATCTTTTCCATATGGAAAGGTTAAACCTCTTTTCCTCCAGACGCAGTGCCCCTTTGTCCTTTGCAGTGACCTGAATAATTTGACACCAAGCTTACTGTATGGACCATTAATGTATTTATACATGGTGATCATGTCTCCCCTTAATCGCCTCTTCTCCAGAGAGAACATATTCAGTACAGTTAATCTCTCATCATAGCTGAGCTCCTCCATGCTTCTTATGAGTGTAGTTGCACTTCTTTGCGCTCTATTCAATTCCCCAACACCCTTTTGAGAACTGCTGCCCAAAACGGAACTGCATATTTTAGACTAATTCTTTAGATCCCTTTCACACAGGTTTTCCTGTCAGTATATCAAGCGGACCTGATCGAAAGCCCAATGTTAGTGTATGGACAGCTAGATCTAAATGGACGGGTGTTCGTTCACATCTGGTTGCCCCTGGATTCGGCCAGGTCCAGAAAAACAAATGGATCAGAGTTCCATTTCACCAGAGCTGATTGTTCGGGATTGGGGGTAATCTGATGTAAATGGACACAAGTCTGTTTACATCCAACTCCCTATAGGTCTAGTAACTTCAGTTGATGGAGAAAAAAACTGGACAGATACGGATGTCACAACGGTGACATCCGTTCTGATCAGCAGGGGACCCGTGCATAGATCCCCTCCTGATCGGACCGTGTGAAAGGAGTGTGAGATTTTAAATACTTATATTTAAATAATTCATATTCTGTAGATTGCCCATTAGTATAATCATGGACAATTCATGAGCCTAAATTAAGGGCTATATGTAAAATAATGTAGATTGTCCCTCCCACCCTAACTTCCAGTATAGAGGTCACAAGATATATGACAAGCAGGCATCAAACTTCCAGGGTGATCAGTGTCCATGAATGGTCTCTTTTTAATATCCAGTTATGCTTAGATTGGGCACCTGCTAAGGCAACGTGTTGTGTGCATGTGACAGCTCACATCTCTGCTGCAGCAGTAGTACTGTCAGCCCTGCCACTGAGCCATTTAGTCCAATTTGTTCCTTTCATCTCAGCCATGGAAGGAAGATGATATGCACTACTCCCTGTAATTGACTATATGGTGTCTAAAAGTTAGCAAGAGTTCGACCTTAGGCTCTGCATCATCCGCCATCTGGGTAATGGAATCAGAGGACCAGTTTCCTCTAAGGAATCGGCAAACTGCTGGCTAATTGATTCTTTGCCACAAGCATTGACTAAAATTATCCTTATCCAGGGAGCTCTCTGCATACCATAGCTGGGCTTATTGACATGCACATTTCCATCTCCTATGGCAAAACAATTGATGAGAGGCACAGTCTTTGAACAGATCATGCAATAATAAATGCCATCATTAACTTCTTCACTGCCGGAGCACATTATAGCCTATTAGGTAGCTTACTCCCTCTCCATCCCAGACATCCAACGATGACAGTAACAGGAATCCATTCCCAGCAGCAGGGAACGATCACTTCTAATCGGCATATATGTATTTATCTTTCTGCCAGTCTTTACAATAGTCTGTCTCTAATACCTGCTATTAGAGTTGTAAACTATTTCTATGTCACAGAAGCCAACAATGCTGATCAGCCATGATGCCTAGGGGGGAAAAATTGCTCCAATTTACGCTTTTGTCACATACATCTCCCTTCCCGGGGAATATACTGAATAATCACATCGCCTAGAACGACTGGCAGCCATTAACCCCTTCCTGGCACAAGCTGCATCTGGTAACTTTGAAGTCTATTCTGTACACTATTGGCACGCAGTGGTTTTCATTCATCCATAGTGATTGGCTTTGCATCGATGTACAACTATGTATGCATAGAATTTACATTATAGACTCAGTCTGGAGTGCTTGGAAAAATCAGATTAACTCACAGAGAGAGATTGAAGGGTTACACTGCAAGCCCTGTATATATCATCCAACTGGCACTGTCATTTGCTTCTTCATCCTGTGCCACCCCACCTACCTGTATTCCTCAGTGTGCTCCCCCTGGCTCTGGCACCTGTCTGTTACCTCTTCCCCGAAGCCCTGTCTTCTGCCTGGGTCTTCTCTGTGACAGATGCTCGCCTCCATCTGCTCTGTCCCTCCCCGTCCCTTTAAATATTCCCCCACTAGACACACACCATGGGCTGGGGAGACCCTCCCTCTCCTGATGAGCAGCCAGGGACGTCACTGGGATTCCCCTCCACAGATCACGTGATGCTCCCTGTTCCCCCGCACTCGCCTTGCGCTGGGTACCGATCCTGCCAGGCGTCCAGATGAGACTACTGGGGGTGCAGATGGTTGAAGGGGGCACATCTGCTCTGGCAGGAAGGTTGGCATTTGATTAACCTGAGCACTGCTGCCTGTAGCTCAACTATAGCCTGTGTTAGTTATTGCTACTTTTTCATCTAAGTGCTGAAACAGAAGTAATGTGCTTTATCGCCCAGCCTGCACCCCTGCTGCTCCAGATCCATGCTGAAATGTAATATTCACACATCAAATCTACACTCGTATATAATCAGCTACTAGAAATTATTTTATCAATGTGTGGGCTACCATTAGCATCATGTTTTTAAAACACGCACACTGGGCAAAAGTAGTTTAGGAATTTTTTCTGCAATTGCCACGTGGATGTACCCCATTGAAATCAATGCGGCCGCGTGGCAATCGCTGTCTGCAATTGTGCATGACCACACATTCCCGGAACGTGCATCTCGGATCGCTCAGGTCTGCACCGGGCTTGAGTGCTACAGATGCTGCGTACAGCCGTTCTGTACATATCAATGACAGGCTGTGGCTGTATGCTGGTAAATTCTGCTCCCTGCATGTACAGCTGTATGGGTTTAGATGTATGGCCCTGGATGTGGACATTCAGACTCGCCGCTGCTCTCCCGCACCGAAGGTAAGTGAAAAAAAAACATAGCGCAAACATCGTGCCATTTTGATAAGTACAAGTACTTGTCAAAATGCCACGTTTTTTCCGCCCTCACCCTGCAGCGCCGTAAGGCGGCCGCCTGACTTGCCTTGCGGTAGCGCCGGGCCTGCCTGTATGCAAGTCCACACTAAAAGTGCCCATACACTGCACGATTCTCGTACGAGAATCGCGTCTTCCGTCGAACCAGCATGCTAGAAAACCCGCCGGGAATCGTACGATTCTCGGCGAGTTAGTGGCCTGCTGGTTCAACAACTGCCGAACGGGCCGGTGTGCGCACGCGCACACTGCCTGTTTGCAGTCACCGTAAGCCCGCCCCTCATTACAGTAATCGTAAGCCCGCCCCTCAGGGGGGCGGGCTTGCGATGATCGTGAGTACGATCTGCCTGTCCAAGATGGGCAGATCGTATGTTTTTTTAAGTACTTTACAACCATCGCAAGACTAAGGTCTTGCGATGGTTGTAAAGTGTATGGCCACCTTAAGAGCAGCCTTTTCCAGTCTGTACATATCAATGACGGGCTGCGGCTGTATGCTGGTAAATTCTGCTCCGTGTATGTACAGCTCTGCAGGTTCAGATGTGTGCCCCGGGTGTGGACAGTCTTAATTCAGGGACCTACAGCCATACCTGTATACAAGTCCACACTCAGGGCAACCTTTACCAGTCTGTACATATCAATGACGGGTTGCAGCTGTTTGCTGGTAAATGCTGCTCCATTTGACCATTAAATGTATTATTTTAAATACAAGGAGTGTAAACACCTGAAATTGGCCTGGTATCAGCCACTTGCCATCCCCTGTACAGCAGAGATCAGACTAGTAGATGGAGAAGTAGAGTCAAAGAGTCAGTCAGTTGTACTGCGGTGCTCATAAGCTGACAAGGAACATGCTTATTGGAGGAGAGAGTAGAGTGAGATAGATGAGCTCATCAGTCTGCTGCTTTTCCATTCACTGTCCAGTCACAGAATAAGGCAGGGGTGGGTACTTCCAGCCCTCCAGCTGTGTTTTAACTACAAAGCCTAATATGCCTCTGCCTATGGAAGTCACACCTCTAAATGACAGTCTTGCAATTCCTCATGGGACTTGTAGTTCCAAAACAGCTGGAGGGTCAGAGTTGCCCACCCCCTTGCAGGAACAAAACCTGCAAGTGTAACTCAGTAACAGACAACTTTCCACCTAAAAAATGTGAGATCTTTGAGGCTTACATACCATCGTAAGGAGCTTTAATTTAAAAAAGAAGTAATATTTATTTTTAACTGAGTCCGCTGAGATATGAAAATTACACCCACATAACTAAAATAAAGATCCTGGCATTCCTGCCACAATAATCCACAGCTTCCTGCAGCAGCAATGCCAGATCACGCCGTGTAAATGAGGCCTTAGAATGCAAAATGAAGGGTTCATCAGCAAAGCCTGTCAAAATGTCTGCTACTGAAAACTGACTTTATTTCAACAGGTGTACGGCAGGGTTGCTAATGACAATCCCTGATAGAGAGAATGCCAATAGATGCTGCATTTACATATCGACATAAGAAATACAGGAACAATGCAACCATAAGAAGGTAAAATCCCAGCAAAAACTACATTTAGCCAAAAGTTATAGGAAGTAAAAACATGTATTATACAACGCTATTTTTAAGCAAAGGATATAAAGTCATTAAAAAAGGTAAGAACAATTAGAGAGGTAATCATAATCACCATAACAACCATCAGCAATTATTTTTTCTTTGACTACTATTACAAACAAATGATAACATTAGGTTACTATGGGTTAGGATAACCAAAAAGATGCGCTTTTCACAAATAATGTGACCAAGTGACTGCCCAGGGTTGACAACCATTTCTGATTGTTTTTGGACACAACTGTGGAGACCTTATACAATGACACATGTTAGCTGTACTTTGAGACTATTGTGCATGAAATATATATATATACATACACATACACACACACACCCCCCCAATCAGCCATAACATTATAACCAACTGTTTAATATTGAGCAGGTCCCCTATTTGCTGCCAAAACAGCTCTGACCCGTTGAGGGCTGGACTCTACTAGACCTCTAAATGTATGCTGTGGTATCAGGCACCAAACCATCAGTAGCAGATCCTTTAAAGTCTTATAAAATGCGAGGGGAGCCTAACTGGATCGGACTTGTTTTCCAGAACATCCCACAGATGCTCAATTGGATTGAGATCTGGAGAATTTGGAAGCCAGGTCAACACGCTGAATCCATTGTTGTGTTCCTCAAACCATTCTTGAACTATTTTTGCAGTGTGGCAGGGCACACAATCCTCCTGAAATAGGCCACTGCCATCAGGGAATACTGTTTCCATGAAGGGGTGTACTTGGTCAACAACAATGGTTAGGTAGGTGGTAGGCGTCAAAGTAACATCCACATGAATGGCATCATACTGCCTCCGCTGGCTTGCCTTTTTCCCGTAGTGTATCCTAGTGCCATCTCTTCCCCAGACAAGTGACGCACACTAGTTCTAGTGGTCTAGTTCTGATGCTCACATGCCCATTGTAGGCGCTTTTGGTGGTGGACACAGGTCAGCATAGGTAATCTGATCGGTCTGCAGCTGTGCAGCCCCATACATAAACTGTGATGCACTGTATGTTTCAACATCTTTCTGATGGAACCAGCAATAACTTTTTCAGCAATTTAAGCTACAGTAGCTCTTATACTGGATTGGACTACACAGGCCACCCTTTACTCCCCATGCAGTAGGACCAATACAAATGAATGGAGTTACGCAGACCACCACAAGTGCACCCTGCAGCACCTCTGCGATGTCACATCACAGAGGTGTGAACAAGAACTTAAAGTGACACTAAACTCAGGAATTAAATATTATAAATACATTCAAGTACCATAACTTTTATTAAAAATGTATCTTATTTGTGTATCACTCGGGCATAGATCCTCAAACCATCTCTGAATTGGTGCTGACACTGTCCTTCCTTCTGGAGGGGGGTTACTTTTGTTCCCCATGGTCCCTGTGTGTGTTGTAAAGTAGCCACCACTCCAAGCTCATTCCTGTGATTGACTACAATCTCAATACAAACTAGTAAACTAAACATGAGATTGTAGTCCATCACAGGAGTCAGCTTGGAGTGGTGGCTGCTTTACAACACACACAGGGACCATGGGGAACAAAAGTTTCCACCCTCCAGAAGGAAGGACAGTGTCGGCACCAATTCAGAGATGATTTGAGGATCTACAGCCGAGTGATACACAAATAAGATAATTTTGTGTTACTAGTTAAGGTACTTAAATGCATTTTTAGGGTTTAACTCTTGAGTTTAGTGTCTTACTAAATTACAAGTCAGGCACCTCAACATGCCCTTTATTAACACGAAAAGCCACTATATGCCCAACTTTAATTTAGTTTTGCATGCCCTGCCAGCTGTGAATTAATCAGAAGAGGGATACAGCCCTCCCTCTCTCTAGAGATGACCCCTGGATTTTCAGTCTGTAGTAGTAAAAAAGTGAACTGGCAGTGCTGAGCTTTTAAAGGCTTTTAACCAGTTGACATCCGCGGTGTTAAACCCCCTTCCCATCCAGGCCATTTTTCAGTAATCAGTAAAAAAAAAACAGCTTAAACAGCGGTTTAGACTAACCTCATTATCGCTGCGACCTCCCGCGGCGAGAGTCCGGGACTGTTTGTGTGGCCGAAAAGGATCTTGGGGCGGGCGCATGCAGTTCGGATTCTCGGCCGGGAGACAAGCAGAGACGCAAGGTAAGTCTATGGACGCGTACACCCGCATGCAGACATCGCTGGATCAGAAGTGCCAGCAAGGACAGAGGAGTCAGCGCTGGATCGGAGACCCGCCACACCGCTGGAGGGACAGATGAAAACATGGGGAAAGAAGAGGAAGATCGGATTAAGAGACATAATTTAAGGTAAGTGCTAACATTAACATGGGGGGGGGAGGGATTTTTTTTTATCCTTTAATGTCACTTTAACATTATTAGCTAGCCTATTATGGCATGAGGCAGTTTTTAGTACAAGGAGGGGATGGAACATGGTGCCAGCTTGGACAGAAGTGAAGGCACTAAGTACAGCTGATGTCAGGTTCCATGATCTCCACAGGGAGGTAGAATCTTTTTGAAGACTAAAATTTGTGGACCTAACAAGGTTATCTTAGACAACTTTCAGGCAATTGCAGGA